TGTCCACCTTGCGCAGCTCATCAAAGTTGTCCAAATAAACCCTGAATAGATGATCGGCCCGACTGTTGGGCCGGTCACGCCTGATCTCTTGATGCTTTGACGCAAGGCGCGCTCCTGAATAGAGAGCTTGTCCAATCACTCGTCTGTGCACGTGCTGGGCGATCGCAACCGAGTTGATGAACCCCATAGGCAACACCTTCGTCACCAGGTGCCACTCCCGTCCGGAGTAGCCCCCTGGGAGGGCCTCTTCTGGCACCTCCCGTGCAAAGCCCATGTAGGGCCACCACTCTGGTGGTGTCTGGAATAGATAAAAGAAACACCGGATATCCTCTGAGGATGTAAGGAGCAGCTCACTGTCTTCAAGGATGATTGACGTGAGTCCGACGATTGAGGGAAGCGTGGCCGTATCCCCGACCAAGTTGCGACAAAGGGAGTTGGTTGGAACCAAATTCATGATTAGCCGGCATACGTCAAATTCAATGCCATCTGCTCCAACTGCTCTCTCCCCCTTCTCCACTGCAAAAAGGCCGTTAAGTAAGGGTCTTCCCCGAACATGGTGCAGTTCCCCCCTTTTCATCAGACCACAAACTCCCCTGGCGACCAGACCCCGGCACACCTCAGCCCAGTCGCTTTGCTCCACCATGATGGCTGGCGTCTTCCCCAAGTGCTGATCCTGATCCGGTAGAAGGCACTGCTCGAAATTCCGTACATAATCAAGGGTCCCTTGAGTGCAAAACTCGGTCAACACCAAACTTCCTACCCCTTGGGGCAGAGCTGCCTCAATCATCTGCCAAGTAAACCGGCGAGCGACTTTCACCTCTTCACCCGAATTCTCGATGGTCTTGGTGCGGAAGAACTCCCGAAAAGTAAGCCGCGGCACCTTTTCTTTCAACAGTTCACAACCCTCCAAAACTTGTTCAAGACGACAAACCAACTCCTGCGAAACCTTGCTGGGAGTCCTCAGCCACCTACTCCTAGTACCGGCAAGTAGGTTCAACCCACGGACCATCGCCTCAAGGAAAGACACTTGGGCCCCACTCCTCCCTAGTTGTGTTGGAAGCGGGAGAGGGAAAATCCCCTCCGAGGCCTGACTGCAACGCGTGTTCAACTGATCATCGAAAACCTCCAACATACGGGAGAGTAAGGGCCCCATCTCCCCCACCACCATCTCTTCTTGCTGACTCTTGTTTTGTAGCATCAGGCGCAACTCTTCGAGGTCGTGCCCGGCTTGTTCTGACACTCCTTGCCCCGTAGTACGGGGACTTCTGTGCACAACTTCTCCACCACGGCACGGGTTGAAATCCAGTCGTGGTGTCCCGGCATAGACGTCCCAGCGGCTCTCCTTCATTTGGGGTCGCCCGGACTCGCCCTGGAAAAACTGGGAGCCCCTCGTCATGTGCTCCCCTCCCTTCTGTCTCTCTCCTGCAGCACTCCCTCCAGCGAAGACACCTTCAGCCAATAAGCCACGGTCCATACCTGCAGCCTCCGCTTCCAGTTCCGCATGCTGGGAGAGCGCTCCGCAGTCCCTCCCCTGTACACTACTCTCCTCCTCTGCTCGGCCCGGAGCCCCTCCTGGACTTTTTTCAACAAGAGCTGCTCCTCCAAGCTCATAGCCTTCTGCCCGCTCCCGGCACTGCTGTAATAGGGCCTCTATGGCCTTTTCCTCCTCATCTCCTCTGCCTGTATCCTCTGTTCTCTTTTGCCTCACCTGTCTATCAACCCTCTTTTCTCTCTTTCCTGGCGACTCTCCTCTCTTGGCACTTCCTCTACTCTTTCTCTCATGTGCTGTTCCATCCTCAGTCTCACCGGCTAGCCATTCTCTGCTTTTCCTTTGCGGTCCCATTTTCCTTCTCCTTTCTTTCCCTTCTCACCCTTCTCCTTGTACGCCGGCTCTGAAGATGGAACAGCTTTGCCTCTGCCTTTGCCCTCACTGTCGCCTTTTCGCCCCATCCCATAGGGCTTGGACCCCACCGTCTTGTTGCGGAAGTCTTCGCGGGCATGGCGGGCCGCTTCATAGCTTTCGCCTGCCCCTGTCATGGCCACCTGGTCGGCCCCCACGAGCTCTAGCTGCCTCGACACTGTGTAGTGCCCGCATTTGAGGGTCGACTCGAGTGCCTTGGCCCTCTGGACCAGAACATCCAGCGCTGCCGCAATCTTGCGCCGGAGGATGAGATCGCTGACGTGGGCCACGGTGCTAATCTCTTGCCAGAGAACCGGCGATGCCTGACCCTTGAGGTGTTGATGAGCGTAAATCGCAAAGACCGGTGCCAGCTGCTCTTGTGAACTGCTGTATAAGTCTCGGGCGCTCATCAAATGCTCTCGCATATTCTCTATGGCCTGCAAACTCAGTGCTCCGGGGTATCTCTCATGAAGCCGCTTCACTTTTCTTGTCTCCTCAAGTAACGGCCCCTCTTCTTCAGATCCGTCCTCCTCAGACGAACTATCTGAGCTGCTGGCCTCCTCCTCAGAGCTGCTCGACCGCTTCCGCTTCTTGTCACTCCTCTTCTTCATCTTTCGGGCCTTCCGCATCAGCCTCTTACGGCGGCTCACATTTGGGTCCAGACAGGTAAAGGCAAAGACAGCCCTGGCGGTCTTTTGCCCTTTCTCCAACACCTCAAGCCCCTCCTGGGCCTCCAACTTCTCCTCCCATTCCTTTTCACCCTTTCTCTCTTTCCTCTTTTTCTTCTTTCTCTTTTCCTTTCCCCCTTCTATCTTCTTTTCTCCTTCAACCACCTCTGCAGCCGCCACCTCAGGTCTGGGAGGCTTATCTCCTCCCCTCCCTTTTCCACGCTCCTCGGCAAGCCTTCTCAATGACGACAACTCATCGAGCTCCGCAACGGCTTTCTCGGAGAGGTTCATCTGCCATTCTTTTGGGGCCACTGAGCAATCCCAGAACCCTCGGGCATGGAACACTTTCCTGCCGGTCTCTAGCTGGCCACAGCTGTCCTTGCAAAGGTGGACCGAAATGAGCCGGTCCTCTCCTCCTCCAAACGCCTCCATAATGCTCTCCGACTGGGTGCCCGTCAGCACGAAATCCATGCGGCCATCACCCGGATGTAAAGCACGGACCCTGCCAGCCACCTTGACTGAGGCATTGTAATATGAAGCCCTGTCCAGCTCAATCACATCCAAAGCCCCTAGCCTTTCGAGCGTGAGGTCACTCCACGAGTACAGCTTCTCCACTGGGAGGTGCTCCTCCCTTTCCGCGGCAGGTCTATGGCGAGGTCGGGCACGAGGAACTGACGCAGCCGGTCGTCTCATCTTGGGAGCCATTGCCTCCCTTACCACCTGTAACGGCCTCCGCGGCCGTACGACTTCCTCTCCTGAAGCTCCTGCTTCGCCCTCTTTGTGATACCTTTGTTGGTCCCTTGCGACCAACGTGGGTGGCTTGAGTAGGGTATCTTACCCCTCCAACCGCTTCCTTGCGATTTTCCTTTGCTTCCACCCTTAGATCCTGATGACCTTCCTGGTGGAGGACGTTCAGGTGTATGAGGTGATCTGGGTTGCCTCTGAGTAGGTCTCGGTCTCAGGTGGGGTTCTCGTTCAATGGCAGGATCCCTCACGACTGTCTCCTCCGCCTTCTCCTTCTTCTCCTTTTGGGAGTCTGCGACTTCCCTTTTCTGCTTCCTAACCTCCGAACCGCTCACTTCACCTGATCTCGAATCCTCTCTCCTCCTTCTCTTCTTCTCCTTTTCCTGTCTCCGCTTCGGCGTCCTTGATCTCCGAACTGGCTCCTTCTCTTCCTCTCGCCTTCTAGGCAAGGGCCTGCGATCCTCTGTCCTTTTGGGAGTGGTGCTGACTCCCTTGTCCTCCTTTTCTCCTTCTTCTTTCGGCTGTAAATAAGGTGAGACTCCGGTCACCTGTGGTGGGCTCCTCCGGCTTGTCCTGCTGTCCTTCCCTGATACCTCTGCGGCCTCCTCCTTCGCCTTGGTCCGCTTCTTGGGAGGGGTGTCTCCCTTCTTCTCTTCCTCGACCTGGCCCTCGCTGGGAGGAGATTCTCCCTTCTCTGGACTGTCTTCAGGTAGTAGGCGGCCTATAGAATAGAAAGCCGAGTCCAGTATTTTGGTCACCTTGGCCTGTGCTTCCTGTGTAGGTGGCAGTCGAGGGCCTGTGACAGCAGAGACCAACCGCGAGGATGAGGTGCACACCGAACACGAACCTGCAAGCAAGGACCACTTCCTGCAGGTCGGACACACTGGCATGCCCTTCGAGCCCAATGCTACGGTGAAACATCCCGTGTGTAGTGTTTATTCATGAGGTCATAGAACCATATATATATATATAAATAGTATATAATAACAAAGAAAACATCAAAAGACTAGGACGTTTGGTGAACGAACTCTTCACAGCGCGATGTGCCCTAATGCCTTGAGAGCCTGCCAAGTCCGACGCCTGGCTGAAGCTTCTGACGCGCGGTGTCAAGTCCTCGTCGTCTGTTCCGTACATAAAGATTCCCCAAAAGATGCCAAGACAAGTCGAAGTACTCCCAAAAAAGAAACAAATGCCAAGTCCTCCGCAACGAAAAGTCAAAGACCAAAGAATAGAACTCACCTCCCAGTTCCTCTTGGCCTCCATCCCAAAGAACGAAGGAAACCGTGCCAGTCCTCCTCTGCAGGTCCCTCCCCATCTGCAGGCGACCTTCCGGAACATCCACGATCCGATGGGGAGACCTGTCACACGACCGATCGGCATGGTGGCGTGTCACCATGCACGGCTGAGAGAAATCCTGACAGTGCCCACATCGTTGCACTCCTGGTGATCAAGGACATCATCTGTCGAGATCAAAGATGGGACGAAAAAGAACGAAGGTTCTGAGCAAGTGTGTGTGTGTGTGAGCATCTCCAAATCCCTAGAAGTCCAAAGACTATACTTTGCCGCATTAAAGGAAGATCCGGACCCCGGGTCACTAAAGACCATTCTTCTTAATGCTTTTGGACTCCCAGAAAACTGGACACGCAAAGACAGACTTCGGATCCACTGAATCTGTTTCACCTTGCACCAAAGAGCACCAAAGTCAAAGTGCAAAGCAGAACAAAGGACGACACTTCTGGTACTTCCTTGACCACCAGGACCGAGGAACGGCAGTTCGCTCTCTGGCAAGTTGCCATTTCGAATTTCAGGCAGCCAGTGTGTTGCACCGCAAAAAAAGCAGTACACTGAACAAGGACTAGCTGCGGTGGGTAGCACAGGCCGACACTGTTTTTCTTGGTCAGGCAACGAGTGAAATGTAAACAGAAAAAGGCAACAAATGACTGGAGTTGACCATTTCTTTCAGTGATGGCCTCAAAGCAAGGGTCTTGCACAATGTTCCGAGGCAAACAAGGTTCCATTTGGCTCGGATCTATTCCATTTTACGTGATCATCAGCAGAGTCAACATGCTCAGTGCGATCCGACTAGTCACTGCGAAGGAGGATGCTTCAGCTTCCTGAGTTGCGGTCACCGACCAGTTCCTGGTCGAGCTTGGTGACTCTACTTTGAGACATTCTGACTCCCTCACTTTCCCTGGAAAATATGTCAACCAAATGTTCCACCTATTCCATCTGTCATACCGCGATGGGCAGTACCCGGCAGACACACTGGTATGGCACAAACCGGGAACAAGAGGTCGAAAAGAACAACGAATTGGTGTCCCCGTCACACACACGAAGTCATGGAGAGTTCTTGTTGAGTGGGACACTCCCCAATCCCCTGGTTAAAACTGCTGGTGATCCACTACTGCCTGGCACAGGACATGTGCAGCATGCCTTGGCACGCCCTCCGCGAAGAAAGACTGTCATGTCGAGACTGCATGGACACAGTGAACAGCTGACACCACCAAGGTGCCAGTACCGACCTGCTACCATGTTGCTTTTGTTTTTGTCCGCCCTACAGGACACCTTGGTGCTACCCACCCACGAAAAGCCCATGATCCCCAAAAGAGAGTCAGGGGATTACTCTCCATCTGAGTACGATTTGGCGGATGATGGAGACGTTCAAATGAATTCATCCACTCCTCCAAGCCACCATCTTCCCCGTCGCCTCCGGCACCGCCGCCTCCGGCGCGCGGGTGATGGAGGAGGCGATGGGCTCCAGCCAGGGCGGTTCCAGGCCACCCACCCACGGCTCCACCAACACCTCCTGTGCACGCGTGGAGGGTTGGCGGTGGAGGGTAGGCGGTGGAGGGCTAGGCACGCGGCGTGTGTCACGTAGTAGGGAGGCGAAGGTCAATTGATGGGAGACAAGATGCAGAGAAGGGAATGGAGAGGAAGCTCCAAGGCTTCAATTTGGTTTACGTGCTTTTTTGGGGGTTATAATTAATTACTTCTGAATGTGACAAAGGAGAGGTCTCAGAAGTGTTCCTTCTTCTGGGGGTGGAAAAAATGATTAAAAAGAGTCATGGAACAGTTCGTAGAACAGTTGTATGGGCTGGGGGATGCTTGAGTTTTGATCTCCGAGCGACGAAATAAGCTCCGGTATTTGCCGTTGCAAGCCGTCTTCATGCATCTCTGGTCGTGGTTATCATAGTTCCTACATTAATTGCCAAATGTACCTCTCGGTGTGCCTCAAAAACGGGACACCACCAATCAACAGGTCAGTAGACTATTTTTTGCCAGCATCGAAGGTCCTTCCTTGTCAACTAAATGATCAACAAACATATCCCCACTTTGGTAGTTAAAAGACGCTGTTTCAAGCGAGTCTCCCAAACAAATCCACAATGTGGTAGAGCCACGGTTGTGATTCAGTAGGTTGTGATGCCAAATCAATGTTGTCTCCTATAGAATGAAATTCCAACTCTTCTTGCAATTCAACAGCCATATAGTGTAGCCAGTAGCCTGAATGAAATTCCAAAAAAGAATCGAAACCAAAGCAAAAACAAACCAGCCGCCACAGGGCAACGTGGCGTGGAAACCTATATGGCTTTGGGTCCTGGCACGAGGATACCTTCGTTGACCTACCTGGAAGGCCAAGCTACATGGTGTTGGGGCTCCAGGTTTTGACCCATCCCCATATACCTCCATGAGATATCATGAAGTCAGGCGCCAGGTATGAAATATAATGAAACTGAAACATAATGACAATTAATGACACCTCATGAAATAGAGGCTTTCTGCCACCCCTTTGGCCAACCCCTTTTGCCGCCTCTGGAGCTCCGCTGCTCGACGTGGAGGGCCTTTTTCGGAACGACGTGGAGGGGACCGTTGGCGGCACCTGGGGCGGCGCGTTGGCGTTCGCTGTGACGAGGAGCAGCTGCTGTGTGGAGCGAGAAGGACGCTACCAGAAGAGTCTTGTTACTAGTAGTAAGAATGCTCCTAGTAGCGATGCCAGGAGCCCCTAGTAGCGTCTTTGCTCCTGTAGTAAGGCCAGGAGCCCCTAGTAGAGTCTTGTTACTAGCAGTGATGGCCTCCAATCTACTTGCGATGGCCTCCACCTAAAAACGAACGGTTGTCTGACTGTCCCAAGCTGCCAGATTCCAAACATACCCGGATTCCAAGTGTTTTAAGAAGCTCTGGACGACGGTCGGATGCTCAAAGAAACTAAGTTCACCTAGGAAGTTCTATTCGAAGCTGCCACAAATGAAGGGGCGAGTTCAAAACCTGTCAGTTCAACAATGCCAGAATTGGAAATTGTGCACTGGAACTCTCAAATAAATATGCCATAAGTTGGCAAACTTTGCATCCAAGAATAACTCATGTACAAGTTTTAAGTTCTCGCAAGAGGCAGGTTCTAAAGTGGTCCTGAGTAACAACCCTCTAAGTCATGGCCATTCGTTCGCAACGATTCAGAAGCCACTGCCGTGCTCCCAACAAATCTGCGGTGCTCCATGTCTTCGAGTCTACAACACCAATAGTAGCTATTCATTCTGGACTCAATCAATTCTTGACATCCAGGCTGGCCCATCCAAAAGGATCTCGAAATTGCCACCCGCAGGCCTCCGTGCTCGAAACGGCTTCCACCACGGTCGTTGGGGTCGTTGGCTCTGTGTCGTTGGAGAGATTCAGACTGCTGGAATTCTCAGTGGTTGAGGCTGGTTCCAGTGTGCTGCTCATCGACAGTGGTGGTGTAGTGGAGAGCACGGAAGTGGTGGTGGTCGCTTCCCTGGCTGAGGAGCTGGAGGCAACGGACAAGGAAGAGTTGGTAGAGGCCATCATGCTGGATGATGTAGGGACATCTGTGGTGGATCCAAGATCATCTGCCTCGGTGGAGATGAAGGTAGTGGTCCCAGTCTGTGTGGAAGCCGTGGTCGCTGTGGAAGCCGTAGTCGAAACGGTGCTGGTCGCTGTGCGTGACGTAGCACTTGTAGTCCTCGTGGAGGTTCTAGTGGAGGTCTGAGTGGTGAGCAACTCATAACTGGCTGCTGCTGTCAGGGCCCAGTACTGTGCCCAGACACGGGTTAAGCCATCATCCACATACCTGGGTTGCGTTGGCTGTGAAAAGCTCAACAAACCAGGGTGCAGATCCACGTAGTCTAACTGGTCCAAGTGCGCTTCTCTATTTTAAACATACCTCCCTCTCACTCTGAAAGCAATGGCGTGACGGTGGTGTTGGGGGTCCGTTCATGTGTCTCTTCAAACTCTCGACGCTTCGATCCACATCTTCCATCAGCGGGTCGTGGCGGTTCGACCGCGTCGACCGGACCGTTTGGTCCGACCGTCCCGTCCTCCTCCATGCCCAGGGTGCTGACTGGGATTGCTGAGCAGCTGATAAGCCTCTTCAGGCTTGATCATCGCCAGGGTGCCCGTGAGGATGATCGAGGTCCATGGATCCTGGGAACCAAGAAGAAACCATGCGGAATAGAAACACCTCTTTCATCTGGTAAAGGGTGGTTGAGAACTAAAAGAGCGAAGTGTCTGAAAAGCTTTAACACAGCGGCAAACGAGAGTCATTTTGTGGGAGCGGTAGTTTTGACAAGGTGTCGTACCACTCTTCCTTGCAGAAGCGTGGGCTGCGCGCCAGAATCAAGGCAGGTGTCAAGGGAAGCATCTGAATTCCGTGGATATATTCAATGCGGGAGCCGAACCAGGTCGCATAGTCCACTTTGTTTTGGAAGAAGATGCCCGTGACATGGTTTTTCACAAAGTCCGCAGGGTGATGCAAGTTCTCCGAAGTCATCAGAAAGAACTCTTTCACCTCACGTCCGCACACGGCCGCACACGCGCGGCGCCAAGCAGCTGTGGGGGTGGATGTCTCGAAGTCTCCGGGGCATGTCTCGCCCCCCGCAGAAAGGTTTGGAAAATCGACGGGTGCCTCCTTAAATTAATGTAAGATACACAACCAAAGTAGATTCTTTCACCCCAAAGTCAGGTGATGCATTCCATGAATACTGGATGAAAAATACACGTTTGCATTACATGGAGGCCCAATCTCTTCTTCGGCATGGGTCCGACTCAACGTCGCGTCCGCAGCTCTGACCGACTCGCAGACGGCTCGCGGCCAAGAGGTACGTTTCAACATCCGGTGGTTGAAAACAGATTTGACAGCCGGTCCCTGGAAAGACGCAAGACGCCAATCAGCAGGTGCTTGGAAAAATGTGAGGTGTGCCACCCCATGAAAACGGCAAAAGGAAATGCCAACTTCTTGTATGTGCCGAAATGCAAGCGGGCGTATTCCAACCCGTTCTTCTCCACACCATTCTGCGGCCACTACCCCGAACGAAATCGAAGTCCGTCCCTACGCAGTGGTCGACAGGGTTGGGTACCAGATTCACATCCTAACCTCAGTGGTAGAGGGAAAAGTCTGCCGCCCTCAAACTTTTGTGCTCGCCTAGTCATAGTACCGTCAATCAGTCAATGGTCCTCATCATTCCCACCCTCGAACCCTCATCCCTTCATGAGAAGTCCAAAAATGACATCCAACGCCAACTTCATTCAGCGATCTTCCGGCAAACATCTGCTCGCTGGTGGGTGATGATCTTCCAAATTCAGCCCAGGGAGCCGTCAGAATGCACAAGGCCAGCATGGTGGCACCCAGCTGCTGCACTTTCGTTTGCTCCGTCATCGCGCCCCACAGCCTGTGGTCGACTACGCCCCAACCAGTCTGGCCCAGGGGTCTGAACCCCGTGGTTTTGGGCGGTGGCAACTGATTTTTCATCAGGGGACGTTCAAGCCACAAGGAAGACAACACTGCGACCTGGCGGCTTCAACCACCCACTTGGAATGATATGAGTCATTGGGATAGCTTTTCAACGAGCGAAGAGTACGTTAACTTCGAACATTGGGTGGATGAAAAAGCCCGCCGCCTTATGGCTCATGACTAGACAGTCGCCGGGAACTCCTTGGATTTGGATGACGTCTTCAACGATCAAGCCTAGGAATGGCTTCTTGGTCCTTTGAAACCCGTGAGCAGAACATCCAACGATCAAGCCACTGCATGAGAATCGGCATCGGCTCGAGGGGCAAACACAAGGCAAGCTCGAGATGTTCTTTTGCAAGTTCAAAAAAGCCGGTGCTTCCTGCAAAAAAAAATAGAGGGTTCACTGAGATAAGGCACGTCACAAGCCAAAGAGATATACTGTATGTGCCTCATGTTCACAACTCCCAACAGCAAGAGAATACAAAGAATTGCCTCTTCCTATTCTCCTTCAAGATCATTAGAAAACAACAACGAAGCGAGTCTTTTTCTTTCTCATTTTCTCGAGAGAATCAAGGTTCTTCCTTCGAGAACTGTGGAATCGGACGGGACGAACAACAGACATCAGCAGCTAAAGCTGCTGCTTTTGGATTCGAGGATGGAGGGAACTACAGCTGCCACAGCATGTCCTTACGGGGATGAGAGTCTCCCACATGCACCGTGTAGTGATATGTAGTGATATAGTTGTCCACATGGCTGTCACATGACGGCGCTGGCTGTCACATGGCTGTCACATGGCTGTCACGCGCTTCTTGCCAGGTGGCTGAATGCCATAGAGCAAGTTTAGCTCTTCACTGGTCGACTCTTGGTCCTCGAAGGAGGTCTCGGGATGGCTTGACGACGAACCGCGAGGTGGTTTCCCTCCGAGTGCTGCGAAGGGTCATCCGTCCGGTCATTCCCCGCAGAAGAACGTCACGGAGCAAGTGCGGATTGGACGCTTCACCCCGGCATGTCCACGAATGCAAGAACTGAACGACAAAGATCGGAGAAGACCTGGAAGCGAAGCCTCTAAACAGGTCCCTCTGTCCTCTGTGTTTGCTGTGCTGTATGGATTGAAAACCCCTTCAGATTCTACGTTCATTGGTTTAAGGGTGTTCGGATCGGATTCGTTGGATCGGAATCTATTTGGTCAGATCGGAATCACCGTCCTCCCTCCGACACTGCAGACACTCTCTTCACTCTTCGCTCGCCTTCCCATCGTAGCTCGGGACGACCCCTCGACTCCAGGAGTGCAGATCAAACCAGTCGAAGGACCGGAAGCGCGGGAAGAACGCGTCCGCCGCGCTGGGGTTGCTGGTGTCCCGGATCCTCAGGGGCGTTGCTTCGCCGTGTCCGAGATCGGGTCTGCGGGTCTGCCCGGGTCCTGATTTTGGGCTCCTGACTAGCGCTTCCTGTCGGGGTACCCCACGGAGACCCCCAAAAAGTAGGGAGTTGTTCAGCCTCACCCAAAAGGAAGCAACTGGTCTCTGTCTTCCCTATACCTAGAACCTCATTAGGCAATAATTTCCGCCCAACGCCATTTAGGCAGAAAATTCAGCCCGTTTTTGCAAAGAACGCCTAAGCTGCAGCCTCGAGGGTCAAAATCGCCGAGGCACAATCACATGCATTCTTACATGCAGGAGGCAGAGCCAGAATTTGAATGACAAAAATTGAGAAAACAAACGCCTGCCACTTGACGCTAATCCCCAGTCTAAAGTTGTTGAAACTCATGTCGCTCACTCCCCCCAAAAGGCTACCATTCCGTTGTCCACCCAACTACTGATTGTAGTGAGGGGGGAACGGGCAAGAACGCCTAAGTAACGGGCAAGAACGCCCAAGTAACGGGTAAGAACGCTTAAGTGACGGGAAGAACACCTACGCAAAAAGATGTTAAAGCAATGAATCAAAGCATAGATTTACTAAAAACATACAAAAGAGATCACAAGAGAAACATTAAGTTAATTCCCGACAAACAAGTGTACCTCGCTATGAAAGTTCCTGGAATCAGTGGTGGGTGGATCCTCATGTATTTGAGCAATGCCACCAAAAGGACAAGAACGCCCAGAGGGGGCAAGAACGCCTACAGGGGACAAGAACGCCTAAGCACGGGCAAAGTCGCCTTTACCCACAATAGGCAGAAATTTCTGCCCAAGAAGAGGTTATAGGTATGAGTTGAGGCTTGTACCATCGGATTGGGGGTCGCGGATAGAAGAATGGGCGAAGAAGCCGGCGAAGAAGGCGCTGCCAGAGCGAACCCAAAGGGGAAGCAGTAGGTGCATAGTGATCCCCAAATAGATAGTGGCACAGTTTCCAACACATCTGTCGTGGGGATCTACATGTCTATCTATTTGGAGAATCACGAAAAACATCATTCCGACCCTCGCTGGAGCCGAGTCGTGTTTTTGGACTCCTCTCCCACCCAACTTTGACCTCCATTGAACTCCATTGCAGCAATAAAGAAAGGACAAAGGCACTCGAGGAACCCGAGCATCCCGATTTGGGTTTTGAGAAAACACCAAGCCCAAGGATGCACGAAAAACCGTCACTCCATGCTTCTCTTCCCCAAGCTAGATGCAAATCGGAAACAGCGCGCCGAAAGAATAGGCTGCTGAAAAGGCTCAGGGTCTCCACATAATTCCTGAAGGCCTGGTCCGCCAGGAACTCCGGTCGCAGCTTCAGGAGCATCGCTCCGGCCACCACGAAGTAGCCGAAGTGAAAGTGGTGGTCCTTCAGAGTCGGAGACGCGGAGCTGCAGACCACGGCGGGATCGTCCCGGTCGAACAGGCCGAAACAAGAACACCCAGCGAAAGAACGTGGTGTGCAGAAAGAACATGACATGAAAAGAAGTAGTACTGCCATTACCACGACAAAACCCACCATGGCAAGGAGAAAGAGTTCAACTCTGAAAACCAGGTCCACTCCTTTTGAACAAAGCCCAGTCTTGGCGAACCGATCGGCCCTTCCTGTCGCTTCCGATCGTAGTCAAGTCACATTGTAGCAGGCGTTCCCAAAATCTGCAGTGCGGCAGCCGGCGTCTGCAAAGCCCTCTTTGCTTGCGATGCCACCCCACCTGAAAAAGAAAGTAAAGGCAGGTGCATAGGTTGTGGTGGTCCCATCACCAGAAGATAATGGTGTTGCCAACCATGGATGGGACAGACCAATTGCATTGGAATGGATTTGGTACCAACAGTATGGAGATGTGCATGACAAATCCATCCATTTCTACGTTGTTTCTATTGATGGGGTGTCTGGCCTTCTTGTTTGAGAAATCGCAAGCGCAATTGGATGATGTTCGTGGCCCTCCAGGCAGGGGCACCCCACAGGGCTGCGGGGTACAAGGACACCCCAAAAAAAGGGGCACCCTCTTCCTGCTGTCAAGTTATATAGGTCTTGAATCCAAGAAGGAGGCCCGCAAATCATCTCCGCATTTAACTATCTGGGTCAGAAGCCAGCTGCACCACAAAGAGCAAAGAAAGGGATGCACCAAGCCCACCATGAAAGCAAAGACCAGCAGCAACTCTTGGTTTGGCAAAAAGATTGGCACTTGTATTGGGAGACACAGGATTGGAAAAGAACTGGTATGATTCAGCAACACCAAACGATCACCGTCCCCTTCAGCCCGGCTGCTCGCTCTCATAGTATGAGCCCACAGGAGCACCACCACAGGCAGCTTCCCCAGGGATGTACAAACATCTGAAGCCCTTCACCAGAATTTCCGTGCAGGATTGGGTGTGACTATGGTTTCGGCCTCAGATTACGCAGCGCATTGGTTCGGCAGTGTTCAGAACAGTCTGCCCCAGTCTGATGCACGAGTCCCTCCCAACCGGGGCGAGAGAACATCGCACTCCCTTCAAATCAGATGGTGAACCCAAAATCAAACATAAAAAGAGTGCCATGTGATCACTCCAGCAAAGCCATTCTATACTATATAATATGTGTTCGATTTGACTGGTGATCTGCATTGAAACAAACGTTGGATTCATGTTTCAGCCATAGCACGTTGGCAGTAGCACGTTGTATCCTAGCGACCGGTACACAGGACTGCCATCCAATAAGGGTTTTCTCATCTCCTTATCTTACCACCAGTTGTTGGGTGGGAAACAACTTCGATGACAAACATGCGTGCCTTTCCAAAGTCCAGACCAAGAAACACTGACAACAAGGGGGTTGAGTTCTGGGACGTTCTGGATACTCCAGGCATCTACTTCATACTGACAGCGCAATCAACCATGGCCATTCATCCTTTTTTGGCACTCACTCGGTTGTATCGGTCTGAAATGAAAGACGGACATGAAACGAGCCTCTCTCGGTGGAGCTCCGCCATCGCTCTGAGTCCGAGCTCCGAGCTGACACTGTGGAGAGCAGCCAAGCAGCCGAAAAAATCCTCCAACAGGAGACATAGAGCGCCGATCTTCTGAAAGCCCTTCCCGCTGAAGTAGTAGCTTGACCTCCAACGAAGTCCGATCGGGAACCTGTTTTGTCTTGGCTGCAAACCGAATCCCAGTGCATAAGTGGTCCTAAAAAAAGGAACAAAAAGCAAGAACGGCACTGTCTGTCACATCTACCTCGAAAATCTTGGACAACCTCCAGCAGCTTAGAGGCTTAAGTACCAATGCAGAACGGTAAAGAACACCACCCACCACCTGCCCGACCAATTCATCTTCCACCTGCGCCAGCCACGCCAGATCGCTCCAGGCGCTACGTTCGCTCTCCGCAAACCTCGCGCCCGCCTGGCCTAAAGATCGCACCTCGCCAACGCTCTGCGAAGAGGAACCACTCGAGCTCCTCCACTGCATTCTCCATCAGCGCGGAGCGCTTGGACTCCTCCAGTGGCGCGGGCGGTAGAAATCCCAGCTGCGCCACATGGGACCTGGGGCAGGTTGCGAAACAAAACATCGGATCATCGACCCACGAAACAAAATTCCGGAAGCATCAATGGAAGAACACGACCAATCAACAACAACTGTCAGACTAACTGTCAGTACAAGGTCCAATCAACAACACCACTCATCAACAACGAATGGAAACTAATTTGGTCCAATCAACAACTCTTGGCTACAGTAAGGCAAGCTATTTACAAATAACCTGTGGCACTATGCGGCAAAAAGTTAAAGTCCAACAGCCATGCTAGCCAGCCAAGAATTGTACAAGGTGTCCGATCCGCGACCTGTGCGGCATCCGGGTCCGATCGAACATGTGCGGCATCCGGGCCGCATCTCCACATGCATTTGCCAAACATCTCCAAGCACACCAGCCATATGCCCCTTGGTCGGCGCAAGCATGCTGGTCAGATTCGCCAGCACCGGATCCAAGAGGATCTTGCGATGATGTGCATAGGCATAGTGCAACAAAGGCGTGTCGGAGCCATTGGTCCTGCACACATGTTACAAGAGGCACTTGAATGGACTTTGTAGTCCCAAAAATTGCAACAAGTCCAAGTTCACCAAGACGATGTCCAAATCCTTTTGGACCTAAGCTATCACCAGTTACAACCTCCAAGCTATTCCGCACGTCTGCATTCCACAAGCTCCCACCTGTTCCACAGTTCCCACCTGAAAGAGTACGTCACTGCTCCGTAATCCACCTCCAACTCCCAGTCCATCAAGACCTCAACTTCGACGACGGTGCCGTGTCCAAAACAGGCAAGATCCGCCAAAGCAAAGGGATGGGAGAAAGAGTTCTACCTGTTTATGACCTAACCTAACCCTTCTCCAAAGATCATGCCAAGACATGCCAAGACCTGGGTACAGATACTCTTGAATTGACACATCCGCCAAGACACTGCCTGTGCGTGACGATCCAAGACTTCCTGAGATGTTTCTGCGGGTGTCGATGGCACTCTTTCGGGGCCTCTCTTCCAACACTTTTGGGGATACATTTGCAGCAAGCACTGTGAAAAAGAACCAATGCACCCAAAAGGGATTCCCTTTGGTCGGCTTTGGCACTCTTTGATGTACCCATTCATAATCAACCGGGCCTGACTTCGGCCTGAAATGAGTGGCTGCCAAAGGCAGACCACATCTCCAAGCCGAAAAACCAATGCAAAAATGCGACGATCAAAATGTCGGGAAAAGGGATTGGGAAAACCTGCACCGCCGGCACCAGGAGTGACTTTCCCAACAAAATAGAGTTCTGAAATATGGACGTGTTGAAATAGACCTTTGGATTTGGTGTAAGTATTCGATGTGTGGTGGGGAAAAAGAAAGCCTCCACGGTCTAACATGTCCACAAAATGGCCCAATAGACCGTTGTTTCCATCCATAGCCCACCTAAGAATGGCGTTCCGTTCTCACGGAGTTCCCCACCATGCAGCAACGGAGGGGTGAAACCAACAATGACATCAGCGCCCCACGTTCGAAGCATTTGGTGTTTCCTGAAAAAAAGGGAACAAAACACTGGAGCTACGATTAGAGACGGCCTCCAACCTAAGAGCGATGGCCTGCAAGGGACTCACAGGAATTGCACTGTTTGCTGAAAGCAGAGTCCCTGCAGCTCTATGCGACCAAAAGGGGTCCAACGAGTCTCGCGATCCAAAAGGCCGGACTGTGAGACATCACTCCTGGATTCGACCTCCCACGCGTTGTCCGATGAAGAAAAGCATCTGTATCATTGGTTGATTGAACTTCTGCCAGACGAATCCAACCTGAAGAGTGCTGCTGAGACTTGAGGGGGGCACCATCATCGTCGCTGAAAAAAGAGGCTGCCCCCCCCATAGATCTTGGTCATCTTCCCTCATACACTGAGTTTCCTCTTCTTTGAGTTGCAGCTACGTCGAAAGTTTACTATCAGGCATTCTAGATAGTGAGGGGTAGCAGGAAAGCCTCTGACCATCTGGGCCTCCTACTTCAGGATCCTTGTCGTGTAGTACCCCTTGACACAACTCTCCCCAAAGGGAAACCCACCAGTCACTACGAGGTTCTGTACGCCCAAAGATTTCTCAAAGTTCTCCTGAAAACGCAAGCGCTTCACCCCACATCCCCACTGCCTTCGAAGGCTTTGTTCATCCGCCCATCGAGGCCAAATTGAAAGGTCTCATCCTGCCGAGGCTGCCGAGCCGAGGGTTGTGGTGACAGGCAGCCAGTTGACCCACTGAATTGAAGGTCAAACCGTCGGGGGAAGACCCCAAAACCCAGCCGCCCCAGGTGGTCCACGAAGTGTCCAGCAGGATCCAGGGCATAGAGTCGGAACTCCTTGCCGCCGTTGTTGAAGAGCCTCCAGATCCTGAGTTCCGCGGAACTCATTCCTCTGAAACCAGCCGTAAAACGGAAGAAAAAGGGTATGGCACCTTTCCATACCTTTCTGAGGAGGACTGCCAGGAAAACTCTGCCAAAGCAAGAAGACTTCACGCCAAGAAAATGCCCTTCTTTCTTTTAAAGCACTCCTGGACATTCCTTCATGCCCTGCCGACTCATATTCTGGCTTTTTGGGTTCCAGTCCAGGAGGGTAAGAAATGATTCATACCAGCAGGGTATGAGGGACCAAACTCCTGGACGCTACCGTTGTCCGCTTTTTCTGCTCGTTGAACGAGTCGAAGTCTCCCATTGCTGATGAAGTCCACCGCCAAGATCGCGCGCGTCGACGTGATCCTCGGCGTGACGCCTTCGTAGAAGCCTCGCACCGTGGCGCGGTTCGCGGTTCGTGGCTCGCGGGTGCGAGGGCGAGGCGAACATGGCGAGGGGAAGGAACAGAAGATAGAAACGTTGGAACACAAAGACCTTGTTTTTTGAAGGTCTTGTTTTGTCCAAACAAACCATTTTAGACCTGTTTTTCTCCAAACAGTCTACCGTCGAGGTTCTTACTCAATGTCTTTTAAGTGTGTCTGTTTGGGTTGCTAAGGTCTCGCGTTGCCGACCGCGTCAGCGCCCTTGTGCTCCTGTCAGCGCCGCTCCCGACCTCTGCCGACCCTAGCCAATGTGGCTCTGGGTCTACGGTCTAGTTTTCTCCCAACGTGGCGGAAAGCGTGGCTCTGGCTCCCAGCTCCCAAGCCGGCTGATGGAGGAAGAGGGACCAAAATCAGAAAGTTCAGCTTGACAGTCATGATGCTTTGAACTTTGAACTGTCAGCCAAATCCACCTTGCTTCGCATTCTGTTCCGCAAGAGCGAATATCTGACACTGCCAAAAAGAACTGCTGCGGCACACTGCTCCGCATGATGAGATCCAAAGAAAAAACAAATGGACCTCACCTAGACCTGGTGTTCAAGACTTGGCCCCTTCAATTTGTGGTTTTTATTGAAGGCATCCTCCGGAATCAATGATTCATGACCATGCAATCATCAACCAACATCCCACTGTTCCTCCAAATGAAACTCCGATGGATGAACCGCACAGTTGGATTGAAGTCCTCCCTACTCCTCTTTCGGTGCGAAAGGGCGGCAGCACGTTTACCCCGTCCCCGTCCCGTCACGTTCCTTCCCGCCTGACACGTAGGCCATCCCGCTGTAGATGGGGAAGAGGATCCGTCCGTTCGGACTCCGCATCTCCAGGTGGACGCCAAACAGGCTCTCCTTCACCACCACGGGCTGCGCGGTGCTTTCCAGGGCCCCTAAGCCGAATTCGTTGATGAAGGGAGAGAAGTAGAATCCTCACGGGAAGCCGGAGGAGATGTTCGGTGCTTCATGTTTCCAATTGTGGGAAGTTGGGACCGTCCCTCTATATATATATATATACATTATATTATAATATCAGTTGTTCTAGAGGGCTCAAGCAAAACAAGATCCAGAGTATGGAGCTTTTCGAAGTCTCGGATCTTGTCCACCCCATTGCTTTTCCTTAGGTGTGCGATGCAGGTGGTCAAAGACAAAGGGTCGGAAACTCCAGAAACCGCTTGGAAAAATGACGTTCCAAAGGTTGGCTGTCATCTACATTGATCCAGCTGAAAAACCGATTCTCTGGCACGACAAAACATCACAATGACCAACACACTCACGTGTGACGAACGTGCGAGTTGACTAACCCAAACCTCCGTCATCTGCGTATCAACCCAAGCATGTGCAAGAAACAGTTTGTAAATGGAGATGTATCTAAACATCGATAAAGTATGATACAGTATTGTTGATTGACAAAAGCAATACAGTAACAATCACCCACTAAGTCTCTCATCCCCATATGCCACTGCCGGTTGGGCGCTTCGCGACACCATGAGGTTTGGAGCCTCGCCAGCTCCCAGCTGTAGCACGTAAGGCATGGGATGGATGGGCATGAACCGCCCCTCCTGGCGCTGGCGTCGATCGATCCTGGATCCTTCCAGTTGGAAAGCCAAACAACTGAAACCTGGCCAGAACACCTTGGCAAATTGAAATTGGAAAGTCCACCAAAGCTAAAAGGAACGTGAGCAAAACCTCATGAATGATCGAAATGACCACAGAATGACCACAGGAGTCCTCCACCATCCAGTTGGCCCAAAACTTATTCGTAGCCTTGGGCCCTTCGAATTCAATGCCAAAGGGCGGCAGATGATGCGCACTGGGCGGAGAAGGGAAAGTGAGCAGGTCTGGACGAGCCACTGAGATGGGGTCTAGAAGTGCGCTGGCCATATCCAAAAGCAACATGCACCAGACCAACATCGTCCCATGGCACAGCAAATACAGTAAGTTCAACAGCAATGTTTGTATTTGTTTATCACTGCCTCAAAATGTCATTTCATGAACAAATGTGGCAAAATCACTTTGTTCTTGCACCAGCCCTTGGAAAGAGTTCAAGACGTTGCAGTGGGGAATCAAAACGGTTTCAAGACGTTATTGTGGAGAATCAAGGCGCCTTGATTCTGTTGTATTTGATGCCACTACGGCTGCGGTAGCAAGATGTGGGGAAGAAACCAAACCTGAAAAACTATATGCCATGCCTTTTTTCTCCGTGGTTGCTGGTTTATCAAAGGCATCGCAAAGACACAGAGAGAACACAAAGAGAGCATCACAAGCATCACTTGCATAAATAGAAACAAATCAAAGCACAGGTGCAACACCAAAACGTAACAAGCACTCTTTTTCAGCCGTGATCTTCAGTTCGGACATCACGTCCTTTTGGCTGCACCATCTGGCTAAACATCACAAGAAGGGAGGCGAAGAGGGTGAGAAAATAAAAGGGTTCAGAAAGTCAGTTTCGACAAAACCCAAACGTGCACGTGAAGCGTGCATTCAGCAGCCTCTCAGTTGAGCTTGGTCAGCAAGTAAAACCAACCCAAGAAAAACAACATAGGGTAGTAAACAACAACTTACAACTCACCAAAGAACCATGAGACCCCTCAAAGAGTCATGTCCATCGGGTCGGATCAGGCGACAACCAAGATCTCTGTGTCCAGAGTCCAGCTTCTATGTATGACTTACGGGCAAGGTCTCGAAGTTGGATCGTATTATCCAATTGGACAAGATCGGCTGGACGTCGGCTAAAAGCAAGCTCAACAGGCGTTACACCCCCATAGGTTACGGACGTATTGCGTGCTAACGAAGTTTCATGAAGAAGCTGTCAGTAAGACACAGTATGTAATGAGGCAGGTGCAGACTTGTCACATGACCTTAACTCGTTTCTCAAACAAGCGATTGGTCTCGGTACGATTTGGCCAAAGTGTCATCGGAGCAGACTGACAGGACGAATGTTCAGAATCTGGTAGACTCTATCATTCAGGTGTCATAAAGGTTTGATCTGCGACAACGTACTTAGGTCGCAACTGATGCTGATCTACATGTCACGAAAGATCTTGATAGACCCAGGTTCATTCCTGGTTGTAACATGCGAAACTGTCAAAAGCGTCGTTGCTTCCAAGATGGTTAGGAGGATGATTTTTTCTCTTGACAGTGTTGAAATCTTACAGGTAATTTCTACAAGTACTTCTGATCTTAAACCATCATTAGTTACACTGTTTGTTGGCGCAGTTTTGGACTTCTGATATGTCTCACACTCTTCAATGACTGTGTTTCATGCACAACTTCAACAACTCTTTTTGACTGAACGCTTTTGTAATCTGGCCAGAGGAATTGGTGATGTTGGCGCTGGTGGAATCAGCGAGAGGATCGCTGTCCTTGGACTGTTCAATGTCCTTGGCTCCATCGTCATGGACAACGACCGGAAAGTCATCTGATGGTTTGTCAAATTTTTTTTACTTGACGATGATGAAAACGAAGGCACTTCCATCAAGAATTGGCATCTTGGTTGTGAACTGTTGATGGTGCAATGAGTTCTGCAACATTCAATCTTCAATCACTTGCCAGGTTTGACACAGTTGCTGGATTCGTTGTTGCATTTTTCGAATTGATGGAACTGAGTGGTTGGAATTTCAGCCCTGCAGTTGTTCCAAGCCACCTGTCAATATTTAATGGACAGATTCGAACTGTTGTGAGTTTGACACAGGGTGATTCATCCCCCCGAGGATTGGAAGGTCGAGCTGCCGCTGGAGCCTGCTGACGAGCACGAGCTGCCGCTACATCCGTCTGATTGATTTCCCACTAAGCTTTGGTCTTATCAGGCTTGCCTACTCCGGACATCTCGAACACACAAAGAAGAGAGCGAACTTTTCCCGGGCAGATCAGAGATCATTTCGAGCGCTCAAGATCAAAAGATAAGGAGTTGGTGGAGAAGTCGGAAAGAACTTGCTGGTTGGAGCATCTTAAGAGTTTCCTGGACGCAAGGAGAAGTCCCTTGCAACGAACTACATAGGGCTTTTGCGGTTACAATCAAGCTCTGGGTTGGGTCGGACCCTCCCTTACAAAGCGCGGCACCACCTCGGTGCCACTTCATCACGGCTCAGGACCTTTGTTGCAATGCACGGTGCCGCCTCGGTTCCGCTCGGGCCCTCTATCACAATGCACGGTGCCGCCTCAGTGCCACGCACCCACCGCCCGGGCCCTCTATTGCAATGCGGTTGGTTGCCTCAGTGCCGCGCACCCTCCATAACCATGCGCGGTACTGCCTCGGCACCGCTCGGGCCCTCTATCACAATGCACACGAGCCCTCTTTTACAATGCGCGGTTCCCACACCCCGGCAGCCTTTAAAGAGTGCCCACCCGCACATGGAATGAACTATGTGCTCCGCAAGGGGCGGGGCACGGCTGGGTATCTCGTTGGTCTGCCATGTACGCAGGAGCCGCCACGCAGCTGGAAGATGATTTCGCAGACCTGGCTGAAGGTCCTGGAGCCCGGTCAGGGTGTCACAAGCGAGGCCACGCCCTTCGCCTGTGGACCACAACACCTCAAGGTAGTCGCAAAGAATGGGATCAAGCTTGAAAGCCACGAAACGCAACCTTAACACACAAGTCTTCTTCAAACAGGGCGCTCCACACTTGCGCCAATCCATTCCAAGTGTGCTTCGCGCTCAACCATTCTTGACAAAGGGCTTGGCGATCAACGTATCCAAAGATGAATTGCATTTTCGGCTGAATTTGTGGCCTTCACTTTTGGTGTCCAAAACCCTAGCAAAACCGGTCTTGCCATGGAGAGCCTCCCCAGTTGAACTGGTGAACTGTTCATGAACTGTTGAGCGACCCTGGAATCCACTGCATTGGCGCTTGGTTTTGGGGCCGTCAATGGACAAGATTTTCGCACGCGTCGTGATCCGCTTAGCCTTCACATTGTTCTTGATCAGTCAGCTGGTCTGACGCAGAGCCGCGCAGGACCACCTGGAGTGGAAACTGCAGAGAGAGCACGGTGAGAGAATAGAATTGTTCAAAGAGTCAAACAAGTTTGCAGCGCCAAAAACCTCGAAAAAACCCGATGTTTTTGAGTGTAAAGGCTTTAAAAATGGTCAACAAAACTCGTAACTCTCCATTCACTAGCACAAGATGACCTGTGCAACCTCTGCACACATGGCGTCTCCACCCGTGCAAAAAAAAGACTTCAAAAATGGTTAAAAAATTGTCAAAAAACCTAGAAAGATTTGTCGGAAGGGCTTTTTCGGCCGGTTGAAGGCTTTCAATGGCAACATACGTTTGCGCGCTTCCTGGCACAAAACCCCATAATTGCGCCGGTTTTGGGCTGTACGCTGGCCACAAAACACCAGTGTTTTCATATGCATCTTCTTCTTCAAGAGTGGCCTCAAACCACGCTGTTTGCAGGTATGTTTGTCGCGGAAAGAGCTTTTGCAGAGCTGGCGGCATCAAAGTAGCTCAAAGCCTTGAACACTGACACTTCGACACTTACACTTACAGACTGACACTTCCACCACATTCGCACTACATACACTGACACTTCGACACTCACGCTTACACACTGACACTTCCACAACAGGGGGAAGAGCGAAAGCATCCAAGTGCAAAGTATGCAAGTGTCAAAGTATGCAAGTGTAAGTATGCAAGTGATGGGTACGCAAGCATGCATTGAGCATGCAAGCATGCAATGAGTAGGCAAGTGTGAGTATGGAAAACTAGCACGGGAGATGTCCTAATGAAAAAACATTTCCCCACTTTATAAAATCTCTCTTAAAGGCGGAGGGCGGGGCGAAGAGCATCAGCGCGAAATGCAGGCGAGAGTGCGATTCGCCGGGCCCGCGCAACCCTCTGCGGAGATCGTGCGTGTCGAGTGCGCGAAATGCAGGCGAGAGTGCGATTCGCCGGGTGCCCGCGCAACCCTCTGCGGAGATCGTGCGTGTCGAGTGCGCGAAATGCAAGCGAGAGCGCGATGCAGCCGGTGTGCGCGCGACCCTCTGTCCGTTGCCTTTGGCTCAAGGCGTCTCGGCTCCCACGAGTGCGGACGCCATGTGGGCGGTGTGCCCAGGTCATCGTAGAAGGATAGGAAACACTACATAATGATGGGAAAAGGACACAAACAAGACCGCAACCGAAACCCCAAAAGGCAACCCCAAACGACAACCCAGAACCCAAAACGGAACCAACGCCAGAAACCCATCAAAAAAGGTAGTGTTTCCTCTGTACGGAGGTGAGACGGGTGAAAATAGATTCTGCAAAATTCCTAGGGGCCTGAATTCGCTACGAAAGGCAAATTGCATGTGCTCATGGATGTTTGCTTGGGAGGGCCAATCAAATGTGGCCTTTTGCTGTTGGCAAGGGGGAAATCGCCCTAGCCACTTTGGTGCGTGGCACTCGGAGTATTTCGACTATCTACGAAGTGCCAAGACGGTCATCAGCACCAAGGAGTCAGAAGTTGCAAGGCATGGCAAGCCGTGGAAAATTCCCTCTTCGTAACACAACCTATACAACCGATTGCGCATCCGAAGTGCAGAGGCTAATCGTGAGTGTGGCAGTAGGAGGCATCGCAACGACAAGACTGCTGACGAAGTGTTGTGTTTCCTCCCGCAAGGGAGGTAGCACCTGCACCCCCCCCCTGGCTCCTTCACGCGTGCCAAGGGGGTATTGGTCATCAGATAACGTGCATGAAAGACACTCTCTTACTACATGCATGGCCCATGTGAAACAGGTGAGACAGAAGACCTACCCTAGCATGGTACTTACGCCATCTTTGTACAAGATTGGCTATGGTTTGGCTGCCGCAGATGAGCAACTAAGGTTCTTTGTGGGCGCCTTCCATCAACCACTCTGCTACCACCCGCCTACCAGGGACAAGGAGCTAAGGCTCTCATCCCGGTGGGCTCACAAAATTGCAGGTGATGAGGACGCAGTAATGACTCTGTTTGGTCATCGAAAAGCAGGAGAAGAACTCGTGGCTCAGA